ATCTGAAACGATATTCAAACAAAATCAATTGTTATGTTTCATACCTTTTTGTAGACGGAAGAGTGTAGAGTCCATGTGGTCACCATGGTTGAGGGTGAGCACACGAACCTGCGGCTGCTGCTGGCTGAAGCTCATGCCAGGTCCACCTCCCATCTTGGGTAAGCTCAGTCCCTGCAGAAGACATTTTGTTGCTTTCAATGGATAAAGACATTCAAATTGATATTCTAGTAAGATTTATTGCCACTCAAATTGCTTGCAAAACCTTTATTAACTGAGAAAACTTGTCAACCCTTCCTTCTAGTACAGACCTTCAAACACTCATACTTCTCACGCACCACTCATAAATAAAACAGACTCCCACGACACATTATACACGCAGACAAGAGACACCTTCCACAAAATTACACTAATGCATCTCAGAATCCACACATAAAACACTAAGACTTGGCTTCCTTTACTCCCAACAACCAACTGTCCCATTAGCGTGATATTTGCTAACCTTTAGCGCCCTACGCTTCAAACCATTGAGATCAGATTGAGAAACCTAAAATCTTGTATGTTTCTACCAATCCTGACCCACTCCACCTAACCTCATTCCCCAGCACACCATGCCCCTGCCCCTAACCACTCCAAAAAAGGAGTCCACAAATTTTTGAGTGAACAATGGAACAAGATATCAACCAACCAACCAACCACCAGACAAACCTTCGGGTCAGATCCCATAGTCCCATTGACCGAGTTGGTCATAGGAGACATATGATCAGAGGTGTACATCTGCTGGCTCTGAGGCCCCTGGGTCACCACCCCGGCTCCGTCCTGCACGCCCATCTTGAAGAAGTTGGCCAGCTTCCTGAAGGGGTGAATTTATGCTACATTTAACCAGTGAACTCCAAGAACATTTCTTTGACTTGTTGGAGATATTCAGAATTCCTGTTTTTTTCTTTTTCTTTTTCTTTTTTTAGTTTAAGGAATAAATGGCATTGCAATGATTTAAAAATAAAGGAAAGATGTATTACTTATATTTGTTCATGGGTAATCATAATAAAAGAAATAAAAAACTAAAGATACTTTGATGGGTGAGTTCTAGTAGAAACAGAAAAGGGAACTTGTCACACAAATGGGGAAGAAATTATATTCTAAAAAATCAAACAGAACATAAGTCACACGCAGATTTAGGAGTAAATAATAAATTAATAGTGAATTGTAGTCTATGTGTGGGTGCGTGGGTGAATTATGAGCTCGATGGTATGAGTGAATGAGTAGATAGATGATACTTGTATTAGAAATTATGATAACATTTAAAAAACAAATAAGTAATAAAAAAGATACTGTAAACGGTTAGTATACAAATCAAATTGCGTGGGCGTCAACTGAATACTGTTAAAAAGGGGAAAAATAATAGGGGTGGGAAAAATCAAACGTAGTAGATATATAAACTTATTTATCTTGTTTCTATTTATTCAAAGAAAAACTCGCAAAAAATAATCAGCATTTAATAATCCATATGTTATTTAATTAACCATTCGCTAAGACCGCAACGAGCAGCAACTACCTGTCAAAATATTGCCGATACACAAAATTACAGTGCAAAGATAAGCGCGGGAGCACGCGAGCAAGTTAAAGAAAACGTGTGGCATGCTCGCCCTCCACAGTACGCGAGGGCGACGCAGACGAAGAGGTCACGCGGTTGGCTCACTCAGCACACGCCGGGCCACCTCGTGTAGGAGGTCACCTGTACGACTGATTCCACTCTTTCTGGCCGCTGTCCTTTTCCTTCGCCGAGCCGTACGCGTAGATTCGCCGAACGGGCTGCTGAGCCGACTTCTGGAGCATCTGTTCTTCGTAGCACGAACTCAAGGGCCGACCCGATGCCTTCTGGCCGTTTCTTCTGCGCCCGCCGGCAGGAGCGGCTTCTTTCCGTCCACCTACCTCCATCCCCTCCTTGCCTTCACACACTCCCTCACTCATGCTTGGAGAAAGGATCTGTTTGTCAGGCGGGTCGTCTCTATTAGGATGCAACTATTTCACATGAAAATGTGTATTTTTAAATAATTTACTACTTGTAAGATAACTGCGATGCCCAACGAAATGATAACGCATTCGAATGATCCCTTAATTAAGACCTAAAAATGACCCCGTAGTATATCTGTCACCCATGAAAAAAAGAGCTTCCGGTCGGGCATGATCAAATTGCTTGCAATGTTGCACTTGGACTGCACCTACCAGCTTCTCCAACTGGTTTATCACCTCGAAGCGCCACCTGATACCATTTCCTGAGCCGCGTCCGTGGTATCTCCCCGCTCTATTATCAGCATTTCCCAAGAGAAACTTCCCGTGACGGTTCGGTTCGTTCTCCGCCCGATTACGTGACGAGATGCAGCAACCACTCTCGTGTGTAACTGGAGCACGAAAATACTAACAGCGCATTTTCCCTTAACGTGTACATCTACCAGATAGTGTTACGTCTATAATCAACGGGGTACACACAGCCAGTTTGTTGAAATTGTACGAAGCCCGACCCAATGAATATTCACATAAAAGGACATACATAAACACAGAAATAAATGCAAGTCTGTCTGATATCTGATAGATAGACATTTATCTACCTATCTGACCGGTAGATGTGCATATCTAGACTGACAGCTATGCATTATTTCTGTGCATATGCATGTCCGTAAAATGAATATTCATTGGGTCGGGCCGCGCATAAATTCAACAAACCAGCCGACAGCTAGTAATTAGAATTGTCATCTCACGTTTTTTTAGCAATAGAAGACCAAATTATTGTAATTAAGATTATCATTGTTGTAGTTCTTAAGAATTTTACACTGTGTTGGCAGCAAATAGATTATTGACAGTTTTTCACCACAGCAAGAAATAATCGGAATCGGTACGTGATGCACCTTTTCGGATCGCTCCCGGCCATCAACTCAAACCATCTATCAACAATAGATTATCACGAGAAAAAAGAAAATCAAATTCTTACACGGGCGTTACTTTCTTCACTCTGATCACACCAAACATGACAGTGTCACTGGCGCTCGATTTCCCAGCACCGGTCTTCGTGAAGGCAGTCATGCAACTTCGGCCTAACCTTGCTGCATTTTTTTAAAGTTGAAAACAAAATCATTGCACTGATCCATTCCTTACAAAACCTACTTTCTATTGACGCGTGGACGTTACAAATGCTATGCGTCCCATGCATTTTAGGAAAAATCGATCAAACGCGAGAGAACCCGAGAGAGGACTTACTTGAGGAACGCAGCCAGCCACACTAACAATACTTCGAGAAATTTCATCCTCGTCTCACAAACGCAAATTCTACAACGCTAAAACGCTGATGATCCATGAACGTCTAAGATCCGTGTGTCATGATGGATAACGTGCGTCCCCACTGCCATGGCAAGTCCGCCCTACCCTGCCCAGACGAGGACCAGCACTTCTGAATATCCGCTGCCTTTCGCTCGATTTGTTTATGTTTCGTCTGAGCAGTCACGGTCAGGAATCTCTCGCTGCTTGCTATCTTCAAATCAACCCGCAGAGATAAAACTGATTGGGTAATTTCGTAAACGACAAAGTCACGACTAGATTTTAATGTATAAACAAAGTCTACCACTAAACTGACATCGATGGAATAGGAATTAGTCGATTTTCGCAGTGCCGGTGATAAGACGCGATTGTTGCCGGGTGGGGAAGACTGGCCAAAGTCACCTTAGGCCCCATGGGTTGGCGTTGCCCCCTCCCCCACAACCACTTCATGCACTTGCATAGCCATTGCACAATGCTTCGTTTAAACTAGGATTACTTCGCTGAGCATAAGATATGTGCGATAAGTAGTGCAGAAAGACATCATCTGCGAGGTCAGACTAGGTTAAATCGCGTTTGTACTTATTGTTGTGATCAGATAAGAAGGTCAGCGAATTTTCTAATCACTCACATCTTACAATCAAAGAGATTACTTATCTAAAGCTATCTTGATCATCCTGAGGTGAATAACCCTTGCTGAGCCCTGTTGTCAGCTGGCCGGAGCAAGACACTATAGCAGTGTAGGGTTGTGACCGGCTGCTGGACCAGCTTAGCAACACGGGAGGAAACTTCCTAATTTGGGGCCCCGACTGAGCCTGGCCTGCGAGCTCCGTCTACTACCGCTATCACACTCGACACGACACGAGTCTTGGGACGCGTCGGGCCTCACGCACACGGGCAAGGTCAGCGCAAAGGCCGCGGCACTGTGCCCGAGGCGGCGCATGCCCTCTCGCGGGCGGTTCACGTACAGGAGCGATGACGAACCCTTAACTCATTTCTTATTATTAGACCTAAATGTCATCCAACGACTGAGTCATGCTTGTCTTTTTTCTTGATCTCCGTATCCAACTTTTATGAAGTCATCGCCACTTTCGTTCTTCGCTGACTATCCACATCTGTAGCTTATAACGTATTCGTGAAATAAAGTCCTCTCCCGGCAGTGCCGAAGGGGCTCTCGCTGAACCGCGTGGCTGATTTCATTCTTGCTTCAAGGGGTCGCAGCTCCCTCTCGTACTTACGCGGTTTCCCTTAACCTCGATTCCCGAAGAACAGATGATGCAGATCATGCACTTCCAACAACTGTCCGCGATCACTGGTGTCGCGAGCACAACGTCCAGGCCGACGGCGCGCGAGTGCTTGCGGAAAGCGTTGGATCGGCGCTCACTGTGCTATGGAACCGTGCCGTTGTCCCCTGGCGGAGGGTGGGAGTGGGAGTGGTGCGATGACCAGTCCTCGCCTCCCTTTATTATATCACTCCACGCCCTCCACCTCCCACTTACACTACGTCACCCACCTCACACCTTCTTCTCCACCTAATCCACCTTCTATTAAAGTCCGACAGCCTTGGACTTGGTGAGTTTGACGCGAGCGTGCTGGACTGACCTCACCTGACCCGACTCCAAAGCAAGAATGGTGCGCGGTGCGGCGCCAGACTGCTAAGGGCTCCTGCGGCACAAGACACCTGAGCCGCCTCC